AGCTTGTCGAGATAAAACGAATTCAGCTTCTCCGTTCCCAACAGAACGTAACTAACAGAACGTTCGATCTAGCGAACTCCCGAAAAAGCTTATTCTCCGAACATGGAGTACACAGTAGATCATCGATGATATCTTTTGTTAACCTTTGGCTAATATCTTCTAATTAGACATATCGTCACTAGGCACTTATAAAGGCGCTCTAGTGTTTTGACGGCAAAAAAATTGTACGAAAAAGTACTCTTAGGAAAAACTTGGGCGAAAAAAGATGCGTAAACATAGATTTAAACCTAGCCAAGGACTGTTAACCTTCAACCCGGAATCTCTTCATATTGATTTTACGCATTTCATGCAAAATAATTACGAATAAAGGCGGTATATTAAAAGTTGACGACGAAGAAAGACCCGTAAACTTATTTTCGCGGTCGACTATGTTTGCTGGTGTAACAGTATGTAAATTCGCGACACTAATTGGCCAGGTATAAATTGGTGTTTACGCGTCTTTCTTCGCCGAAGTTTTCCTTAAGCGCCTTTTTTCAAAACACTAGCGCGCCTTTATTCGTGTGTAGTGATGAAATGTACTTTACCAAAACCCAGATAATTTCAAATTCAAAAACTGTACAATTTTACATACATATGTCGTACACAAAGAAGCGCTGAGTTAAGTGACATTTTGACTAGTTTTGGTTTTTTTTCTTCTGTTTATAGTTTTTGTACAAAAGTCTAACACATTACATACATAACCAGCACAACATAAATCCACGTTTCAAACTTCGCACAAAAATTATACAAATTAAGCAAACTTTACCAATTACAACCAAAACTTTTAAACTTTATATTCAAAATTTTTAGAAAAATTCTATGTATGCAGTTTTATAACCGATTAAGTTTAATTTTTTTTTTGGCTGACTGTGCTAGGCATTTTCTTCCACATATGTAAAATGCACTATCCTTAGATAAAACGTGAGCGAATTTAATCTCTACTTGGCTTCTTATATTTTTCTAATAAATAATCTTCAATATGAACCTCACGAAAAGCTCCTTTTCATTTAAAAATTCGTACGTGTCCCACCCGTGACAAACGTTGTCCCACCCCTGATGGAGGAATTTCGGATTTATTTTTTTTTTTTATGATAATGCAATAATTTGTATGTAAGTTTTTGCTTTGTTAGTAGTCGTGGTTCTTTTTATTATTTCAAGACAACAAGTTCACACCGAAAAGTGAAATAAATTCGCAGAGTTTTCGTAAAATATATGCACTCCGGGAAGTTGAGTGTAGTCACCGCTACAGATTGGTTAGTTCTATTAACAAACAGTTCGATGCAAGAAACAATAATTCCTCAAAGGACAACCACATAACTTCCAAGTCTGCCTCGTGCGCTAGATCTTTGACGGCAGCTCAGAAAAAATTTTGTTTATAGCCCGTTAAATTTTATTATTTATTTTTATAGCCCGTTAAATTTTATTATTATTAGAGTGCAAGTTTCAAGTGGCTAAGAATTCGTGTTGATTTTCAGTATGTTTTTTTGCTGACATTTCGAGCATATTTTACGTACATATGTATGTATACTAAAAATTATCATGAATTCTTAGCCACTTTATTATTAGAATTTATTGGGTTTTAAAACAGCATTCCAAGATTATTATAAAATTGAAAAAAAAAATTTAATTTGGTGAACATTTTTTTATCAAGGAATTCTGGATGCTAGTGAGAAGCAGAAAATTTGAAAATAGAGGCGAAAAAAGAATCCTAACACCATTAGGCAGCGATAATTAGCCTTGAAGAGATGGCGCACTTTCTAAAACACCGCAAACGAATTCAAAAGCCTTAAAACTATGTCACTTTCTCACTACAGCCTGCATCCTGGCTCGAAAACCTTTCAGTGAGATATCTTAGGCGCTTAAAACTTACCTACTCTCTCCTCAGCCTTCATTCCTGGCTGCTAAATACTCAGTTCAGTGTCTACGAACCCTCTACGCGGACAGTGTTGCACAGTGGCATCCCGGGCAACACCTCGGCACACCTTGAATGTCTTTGGAATCTTTATTTTGATTACATACATATTACATATATATTCCTATATATATTCTATACGTATACAATTCTGACTACATAGGTGCTAAATTTTTTAAAGGCTACTGAATTTATTATTGAGCTACTTAAGAAAATCACCAAGTTACAAGTCTAGTGCGAAAATGCACTTTTTAAAAATTTCACTAAATTGTGCTAAAGCTAGTTTTAGAAAAAAAAATTTATGTTCTTTTCCGCGTTACATATTTTGTTGATCCACACTGCGTAGAAGCGTTACATACGAACCAGCGGTGCGCCAAAACTTAAAAAAAAAGAAAAAAAAAAAAAATTTTTTTTTAAGCACCCGAAATTAATTAAAATTACTTCCATTACAAGTGCATACCCATAAAAACAAAGGCAAATCCACATCAAAGAATATACCCGTCAATTTGCAGGACTTCTGTGCGCGCGTCATTGAGATTAAGAGTACTTTGCGCAACTCCAGCGTCCAAGCAGGCGAATTTATAGTTTTATAGATGGATTTGTACACATTTTCGCTCTTTTTTTTTTTTTAGGGAAATAAAAAAGAAATAATACATGTAAGTCCTGTTGTTTTTAACCTTTCAAAGTAACTTTCATCCCACCTCATTCTGCAAACGCTGACCTCCATAGCAGTAAATCATAAGCTGTATGCCTACTGAAATCATGAATAAAAATAAAAATGGCAAATCCACCTTTGACACAACGCCACTACCAATCTGATAGGCCAAGAAACATAACTGCAAAGCATTAAGTGAAAATTGTACAAAAACTATGGGACGATAAATGAAATCCAACTGTTCGGCCATTGCTATGACGCGCTGATGATAGGCAATGCAGTAGTAAATCGATGCACGACGCTCCACGAAGTCAGGCAGCTTTTCTGCTGATTCCAATTTGGATTGTAGTATCTTAAAATTTGCCACTATATTGTGTATGTACCAAGAAAAGATGCTATCAACTGATACGGAACCATAAATTACACCATAGATGGCAATCGCCGACCAAAGCCAGATAAAGAAGTAGTTTAGCGGTCGTGCAAAGTCAATAGGGTAGCTGAAGCGGAGATAACAGATCAATCACTTTCCTGTCCAAATTTTAACTAGTTACTACTTACGCGCCTTTTAGCGCCACAATATAGCCGAATTCGCCAAGTAGCAAGTATTGTAAGAAGCTAACCAAAACAGGTGCGGCCAGCGATAAAATTCCAGTAACCAATACCGAGCAATAGTAGGCTTTATTCATAAGTCGTTCGCGATTATTTTCCTGTATTAAGTAATTTAATTCGCTCATGTTGGCTTTGCAAGTTAAATTGTCAAAGTAATTGAAGGACATACAAGTTATAAGTAGTTAGGAGATTTCAACTACATACATACATAATTAATTACACCCACCTCTTGCCGAAACCACATAAATGCTTTCGACTAGTTGTGCCATTTCCTCTCGCCTCGAAATGACACGCCAAATCTTCCAAAGCGTTATCGTGGCCTGCATAAATGGCGTCATTGCATTGGTCACCTCGGCAATTTCTTGCAAATGCCGCCTGCTGTAAACCACCATCGGTAGCAGGATCATAGCCAGCGTAAAAATAATAAAAGCCAAGAAATATGGTTGCATGACTCGTCCATTTTTGATTGTAAGATCTATGCCTAAGCGTTGAAAAGTGAATTTTTGTATGCGGAAGTAGTCTTTGATGCCTAAATTCTTCTGAAACATTTCGAGTATGGCACAGTGAGCGGCACTATTTAGTACTTTGTTGGACGAAAGGCTTGTCAAAAATGGCCTATTCGAGTAATGTGGTCGGGTAATTTATTCAACAAGTACGTACTTAATACTAACCAGCATTGTATATATTTTGGGGCAAGCAGCAAGAGCGCTACAGTCGGCATGAAAAGTTTCCATAGACAAAAATTATAGCTTTTTTCTAATATTTTTCAACAGATTAATGAAATTTAGTCAGTTAGCAGGAGGTTACTACTGAACCGCAGATAATTAAGGCATATTAAAATGTATGTCGTTTTCCTGCTTTAGGTGGAATGACCCTTATCAAATAAACAATTTTGTTTTTTTCATTTTTTTTATGAAAATTAAGAAGAACTAATTCTTGTTCTAGGGATTTTCTGAGGATTTTTTTTAGATACATAGGAGACAAGGTCTTGAAATTCTAATAAAAATATACACTTTTTAATGCCTAGATGCAGTTTCCAAAATGGCGGATCCAACGTGGCGACGAATTTAAAAAAAAAAGAAACATTGAATTCACTTGAAAATTGCTACTCTGGGGTTTTTGAGGTCGTTGATTACGAATATGGTCATGAATTTTTTTTTATTCAAAATGGCGGGTCCAATATGGTGTATTAATTTTTTATAATTCATTTCTCCCCTCCACAATTGGTTCAGGTAAAAAAAATTGGTTATACTTATTCTTGAAAATTCGGTAAAAATGTTTACTCTCAAATGATGAGAGGCATTTTTTACAATCCAATATGGCGGACAGCGACCCCAAAAACTCCCCTTGTAACAAACGTTTAAGTGAATCCAATCATTTGAAATTTTTTTGTCCGCCATATTGGGTTTCAATACACGTCTTTCCTTATATTAAAGGGAAAACTTTTACCGAATTTTCAGGAATGTAGCCGATTTTTGTGCCTAAGCAATTTTGGTGAGAGGATGAATGAATTATCAAAAATTAAAAAAAACAAGTGAGCAGCGCTGTCTTCGGCTATGCCGAAGGCTTCATACCTTTCATGAACATCTGCAAATTTTAGTTTGACAGATTACTGATTTTGATACATCGATAGAGGAGTTACATACTTATACAAAAAATCGCATCTAAACAATCAGAGGTATGGAAGATATACTTTATATGGCACCAATCTAAGTGATTTTCACTGCTATGTGATCGGTATGTAAACCGGTAACACAATTTATTGGGTTTAGTTTCCTACATAAAGGAGATATATCGCAAAAACTGGTATCTGAACAATCAGTGCTATAGGAGATAAAGCTTATACAGCATAGATTTTGACGATTTTCTCAGTAGACTTTGTATTATTATTTATAAAATATCTTACGAAATTTATCGGTTTTAGCTGTTCAAATAAAGGAGTTTTACAGTAAAATCCCATATCTGAACAATCAGATGTATGGAAGATATATGTTGTAGTCACCCGATCCTTGTTATTTTCACTGTAAGTATTCTGTTAATGAGTGAAAATGGTGCGAAATTTCATGTTCCTAACTGCATAAATGGAGGAGATATGATAAAAGACCTCATATCTGAACAATCAGTTGTATGGGGGCTGCAGGTTATAGTGACCCGATCTTCGTTATTTTCACTGTAAGTCTTCTGCTGATAATGAGTGAAAACAGCGCGAAATTTCATGGTCCTAGCTACATAAATGGATGAATTACAACGAAAAATCTCATATCTGAACAATCAGTTGTATGGGAGCTATAGGTTTTAGTTATCCGATCTTTTTAATTTTCACTGTAAGTTTTCTGTTGATAATTATTGAAAACTGTGCGGAATTTTCTGTTCCCAGCTATATAAATGGAAGAGATATAACGAAAAATTGTATATCTGAACAATCAGTTGTATGGGAGCTATAGGTTATAGTGACCCGATCTTTGTAATTTTCACTGTAAGAATTCTGTTGATAATGGGTGCAAGGGCTGCAAAATTTCATGTTCGTAGCTGCATAAATGGAGAAGTTATAACGAAAAATCTCATATCTGAACAATCAGTTGTATGGGAGCTATATGTTATAGTGGTCCGATTCTTCCGGTTCCGACAAATGATTAATACATTATAAAAATACACCCACCTACCAAATTTGATCCGGATATCTCGAAAACTGAGAGACTAGATTGCATACAAACAGACAGACAGACGGACAGACGGACAGACGGACAGACGGACATGGCTAAATCAACTCAGCTCGACGTTCTGATCATAAAAGTATACATTTTAATGGGTCTATCTCTTTTTGTTCTGGTACTTACAAACATCGGACCAAAGTTATAATACCATTTCATGCTCATGAAAGGTATAAAAATCATGATCATAACCGTAAAAAATTCATGCAAAAACTTGCATATAAAATACCAACCAAAATCCAAAAATCAATAATAAAATTTTAAGCTATAATATAACTTTAATATTATCTTAACTTAATTTAAATATAAAATTTTATTACTTCAATTAATTTATTAAATAATACTGTATAAAAATTAATTTTCAATTAAATAAAATCAATTAGTAATTCCTCCCTGCAAATAAACAGACCCCCTATCATTTTTATTTATATTAATAAAAATAAGATAAAAATTATGTTTTTTTGTTATTTATAATAAATAATAAAATTTAAATAATACTGTATAAAAATTAATTTATATTTAAATAAATTCGTAACCAACTACGCCGAAAGCTTCCTCTTCTGTATTTTCGCGATTTTTTACAGAACTTTCGGAAACTTTCGTGATTTTTTCGTAGCCTTTCGGGTTTTTTTGTACTTCATTCGAAGTCTTTCGGATATATATTTTTTTTTTTTTTATAATCTGAATGATGAATTTACTCTTTTATACTGAGTTCATACTTTCTTCGAGTATTTTATACTGCAAGTGTAGCGCACCGAATAGTTTACATTGCTACAGTTGACAATATATTCTAACTATCGTATGACAAAGACTTATTTAAGTAATATTACCCCCATCAATTATCTAACACCCCAATTTTTAAAACTTTGCCACTTAAACCAATTTCCTATATATGGATTAACTCATTGCATTTGAGGCGTTGTCGGCGTTAAACTGTTGACAATTTGTTTTGTCTACAAATGTATTTAAATTAGCTGTTATATAATGACATAATCATTAGATGTATGTATGTATGTATGTATATATTACGTAGTTATTGTTGGGGCTTTTCCGCCTTGAAAGCAAGACGTTGAAAGGCCTGAAAGTATGTTTGTGCGTATATTGTATGTAATTTGATGTGTGTCGCCATTCATATTTGGCGCTTACACATTTTCTAGTGTTGGGCCGCGCTTCTCATCCGATTTTTGGTGTGCGCCTTTATGTGCTCACACAAACAGCAGGAGCTTACAGTTTTACCGCCTCAGAACGGCAAATGGCTTTAATGAGAAGATGTTTTTCTTGACAAAAATAGACTCGCTCGAACCGTGGACCTATCGAGTGGTAATGCCAATCTCTAACCACTCGACTACAGCGGCCGCAACACATAATCAAATTGTGTGAATTTATTTTATTGTTGCAACATGTTTGCGTTGTTTCAAGGTGGCTTATATATGAAATAACTGAGAAGTACATACATTAAAATCTTTCAAAGTCAATTCTGCTTACATATTGATGGTCCTCTGCAATAACGATACTACATAATACACAAAAAAATGCTTACACTACTGAACGGTGGAACGGTGGTAAGGAGTTTTTTTTTTGTTTAAGTTTTGATTTGTTGCAGAGGACCATCGACATATAGTACATAGGCATGTATGTACATATGTATGGTTGTAGGACACAACACATGTATGGCAAACTTCTTCAAAATAATTTCAAAATAAAGCTTTCTTAAACCTCATTCATTTGCCACCTATATTTGAATACATCATTCGATTTATTAATAAAATTGAATTTGACTTTTTGAATAGGTGGTAATTGTGTTACAAATGTTTTCGTAATAAAAACTCTTTGAATTTATATTAAAATATTTTATTTAACTGATAACAGTTGGCAGCTCCCTTTAAAAAATTGTTGACATAAATCTTTCTTAAACAACTCTCGTTTGGTAAAAATTTGTTTCGAAATAAATCGTCCATCGTTTACGCCCACAATGTTGTGATACTTTATTAAACATATTAATTAATCGATTTTAACTTTTTAACAAATGGCAATTGGGTTGGGTACAAAATTACTACGGTTAAATAATCTGTATTCAAAATTCTGTATTTTAATACTCTGTATTGCAAAATTCTGGAAGTTGGTGAAATATTAGAGCTGTTCTGGATCTTGTGCGAATATTATTGGATTTTCATTTGCAAAATTTTTTCTTGTTACCATGGCAAACGTGTGTATTTTATTGTTGTAATTTTTCAAATGCACCGAATATATAAATGCAAGTGCATATGCACATGATTGCGAAATTCCAAGCCATACATACATACATGTAAAAAATACAGAATTTTGGTCCAAAATAATTTTGAATCCAGAATTTAACTTTCCAGAATTTTTATTCTACATCATTTGGTTCTTACAGAATTTTAAAATACAGAATTTTAACTGCAAAAATTTTTTCAAATTTTTTCCAGAATTTTGAAAAGCCGTGGCAATCCCCTTAAAAATATTTTGAAAATACGTCATTTCACAATTCCAATGGACATTTTTTCAGCTGCTTTTCCGAAAATCATAGTGATTTTTTCTATCGTTTGGGATGGGTCCTTTCATTCGATTTGTAAAACTGGTGGTTCCCAAACCCAACAAATGTCTATATTCTCGAATCGCTGTGATGAAAGACACGTTTTCTGTAATTGCCACCTGCAGCCATACCTATTAGGGATCACACGCTACTAAATTTACGACCACTTTAAACAAAATAAATCAGAGTATCGCTTTAACGTTTTATAAAAATGTATCATATTCAAAACGTGTAAATCCGATTTTAAAATTTTATATAAATTCAATAAAACTTGTTGCAGTTT